TGTTTATACCATGCATCCACTTATTCATGCATGGGGAAGAGACAGAATGTCCTCAGAAGATAGACAGAAATTCTGTCTGATGGCATATGGAATGTTAGCTTGCTCCCTGACAGAAGACTTTAATAAGCAACCATATCAGTTCATAAGGATTTTGGTCACTCATTGCCAATAATTTCATCACTCTTTCACTTCCTAAGAGCCAGCTTTTTTACATGCTCGACCCTGCCACTGGCACCTCATTATGGTGGGCACTACACTGTGTAGTGCAAGTCATAACATGCACCGTAGCACATTCCATCTCTATCAACCCTTCTTTGCCCATCGCACTATGCACTTACATTCCTCAATTTCAATTCAATTGCATTGCCATGCAGCACCTGGCAGTTTTATTGGTGTTAGACCCTGATTGTATGAACCCACTCTATGGGCACATGCTGGGAGAGAACATTCAAGTGTGGTTCACCGATTTTCAGAACATGGGATGACAAGCTGTGCAGTGGATTCACATGGTGCACACCCAATCAGCCCATTTGGACATTTACTCAGGTTGGAATTGGGATGCACTCTCTCAGGATATTTCAAACCTCAAAATCCTAAACTGCCATCTTATTGGAGGACCTGAGGGTATGCAGTCATTTTTCTCAATATTTTTAATTACTCATGAAAAGATAGATCATGCCAATTCTGCCTCATACACCATTCATTCTGCATTTAGTTCTTCTGTCAGCAAGTCTTCCAGCAAGAGCAGCAGTGGGAGCATCACACATGACAAAGACACTGTTATGGAAGAAGCTGAGCATGGTAGGAAGTCAAAATTTCAACTGAGAAGACTGAAGCTAAAGACTTGTCAGTTGATAGGTCCCTGGTATGGGAACAAGGAATAACAAGATAATGAGATAATAGAAAGTAGGGATGGAGAAACAAGGTATCATAGTGAGGGGTCTGTCTTGGGTCTGTCTTGAGGGCATGGGTGTGGAATGATTCATGACAGTTATTGGCCTTGAACTCAAGATTGGCACAAGCATGATGATGGTGAATTTCACAACACACAGGCTTTAACACACTAAATTGGAGGATGCTTCTGACATAATTGCATTGATGGCAAGTAAAGGAAAAGTAAGGGGTTTTTAAGAAAGAAAAAATATACATACTGGATCAAGTTTTTTTAACATGCCTGAGGTGGCTGAAGTTCTTGCCAAAATTTAAAATTCAGATTTCCTACATCTCATGAAGGTACTTTGATTACACACTTCAACATAACTGTATCTGCTATTGGCACTGCTGTTGCAGACAGAAGTTATGTAGGTTTGTATCTGCAGTTCAACAAAACTAAGGTATGTAAGGCTCTGTTCGGCAACGAGAATACAGTTGTATTCTCATTTTGATGGCAGACAGTATTATTCCCACCATGCCAAATCATGTAGCTGTGGCACATGGATAGCTACCTCACACTTTATATGGAGATCTTTTATTTATTATTTCTGCACATAATTATTGGTGTTCCAACATGCAGTTCCTATCTTAGATTCTTACATATAAAATATGCATATTGATCACAACCTAATTTAAGCTGGTGTTTTTTTTGAAGAGTATCTTGAAGTATTGTGCATATTCTGAATACTGGGCATATTAAAATCACATATTTGAATTTTGATGAGCTATTTTAATTATTCTAATATTATTTTATATTACTATATTTCTTATTTAATCCTTTGTACCCATCTTAATAGTGGAGATTCAATGTTGGATATATTCCAGACAAATATGAAGTAAATTGAAGTACAATAATGCCACTAATCAACCAATCCTGCACCTGCTGAGGAAATGACCAGAGTGAAATCAATGTGAGGTAGCTTTGCACTTGCCGCGGCTACCTGATTTGGCATGGTGGGAATAATACCATCTGCCATCAAAATGAGAATACGACTGTATTCTCGTTGCTGTACAGAGCCTAACTTGAAGAGGCCTTGATGCACATTGGTAGCTTAGTGGATGCATTGGAGGATAACAGGCAGCTCAACAGGAGAGTTGAAGAGGGGCTTGAATGCAAGCACAGACATAAAGTATGGGATGGTGAATCATGAGATGCTTTTGATAAATTCATACACAGTCAATCATTAATTAAAACAGTCAGACAAAGAGAAATTTATTCAACATACTAGACAGAATATCAAGATATGAGTAGAAGCCAGAATTTCAGTGAAAATGAATATAGGTGAAAAGGATGGAAGCATTGGGGAAGAAGAATTAAGTACTAGTTCCTGCAAAGCCATCATTGAAATGTTTCTTACTATGAAATGAATGCATCATCCCAGACTTGAATTTTGAAATCCTCTTGGCAAGATTGGTCAGAGAATGCACTAATCATATAAATATGAGTGTCAGTGAAAAAGAATAAATGAAGCTCATTTCATACCATTTTCCCTAGAATTCATAAGGGGAGATTCTGCTCCAGGAAGTTTATTCCTTATTTCCTGAGGTTGGACATCCAGCTTCTCTGCCTCTATATATTTTCCCATGTCTTGATAGGTGACTGCAAGATTTGCCATAGCAGTCATTGTATCTGGGTGCTCCACCCCAAGAATTCTCTTGCTTGCATCAAGAACTTGGATCTGCAGCTTCTCTGCCTCTGTGTATTTTCCCAGGTATTGATATGTTTCTGCAAGATTTGCCATGGCACTAATTGTATGTGGGTGTTCCACTCCAAGGATTCTGTTCCTTGCATCAAGAACTTGGATCTGCAGCTTCTCTGCCTCTGTGTATTTTCCCAGGTTTCGATTTGTTGCTGCTAGACATGCCATGTCACTAATTGTATGTGGGTGTTCTACTCCACGGATTCTGGTGCTTGCATCCAGAACTTGGATCTGCAGCTTCTCTGCCTCTGTGTATTTTCCTATGTCTTGATAGGTGACTGCAAGATTTGCCATAGCAGTCATTGTACGTGGGTGTTCCACTCCAAGAACTCTGTTGCTTGCATCAAGAACTTGGATCTGCAGCTTCTCTGCCTCTGTGTATTTTCCCAGGTATTGATATGTTTCTGCAAGATTTGCCATGGCACTAATTGTATGTGGGTGTTCCACTCCAAGGATTCTGTTCCTTGCATCAAGAACTTGGATCTGCAGCTTCTCTGCCTCTGTGTATTTTCCCAGGTTTCGATTTGTTGCTGCTAGACATGCCATGTCACTAATTGTATGTGGGTGTTCTACTCCACGGATTCTGGTGCTTGCATCCAGAACTTGGATCTGCAGCTTCTCTGCCTCTGTGTATTTTCCTATGTCTTGATAGGTGACTGCAAGATTTGCCATAGCAGTCATTGTACGTGGGTGTTCCACTCCAAGAACTCTGTTGCTTGCATCAAGAACTTGGATCTGCAGCTTCTCTGCCTCTGTGTATTTTCCCAGTTCTCGATATGTGGCTACAAGATGTCCTGTAGCATTGATTGTGTCTGGGTGTTCCACTCCAAGAATTCTGTTCCTTGTATCCAAAACTTCAATCTGTAACATTTCTGCTTCTCTTGGATATCCTTGTTCCATCAACAATCTCCCACACTTGGCATAAGCATCATCTAAGTAAGTGACACCATTCTTGTTACTTTCTGATGTGGCATGCTCCATATTCACTCTTATATGTGTTACCAAGACCCTCTGAAATCTATATGGCTGGTCTTTACCCCATCTTAGTGAACAAGACAAAGTCACATATGCCATTAAGCAACATTGTTTCTTCTCATTTGGAAGCATTCTGTCTCTGCCCCAGGAATGGACCAGTGGATGCATTGCATACACACCATCAGATGGGCCTTTTTTGATCAAGGAGAATGACAGTAATATTCGAACTCCCTCTTTAAAGACAAAGTTATCCCAAGTACCTGATTTATTGAGAGGAAGTAGTCTCCGGTCCAGCAGAGAACTGGCAAGTGGTAACTTTGAGCCAGAACTTTTCTTGTCTTCTTGAAGGGCAGCATAAAAAAAGATGTCTTCAGTAATCCCCTCATGATGGAAGAAAGGAAATAATTTCAGAAGGAGTATTGCACTATTGGCTGCTTTGGCCTTATGAAAATCATCAGATTTAGCCCTTCTCTGAATTTCTTTGTATGATAACTCCCAAGTTTCATAAACAGTTTTGTTATACTTAGAAGCTCCAGTAAAATCTGAATGGGAAAATAGTGTCTTTCGGTGCTCTGAATATTTTGCAAGATAGTCTCCAATAGTGGTTGCTCCAGAAGCAATGTAAGCACCAGCCTGATCAATTGCAAGGGGAAGACAGAAGAGCTCTTTCATGATCTTAGAAGCTTCAGATTGAAACTCTATTGAAGATGAATTCAAGCAACTAGCTTTTAGAAGTAATTCAAGAGCATCATTCTCTTCCATCTCAGTTACTTCAAGAGAGTTCTCAGGTGAAGTTAGAGTTCTCATGGCAGAATTGCGACTAGTTATCAGAATATTTCCACCCCTTCCAGGTGGAAGATAAGCTTCCAGCTCAGCAGGTGATAGATTATCAGCATTGTCAAACACCATTGCATAGTTCTCTTTCAGCAAGCCAATCCAGCAAAGAGCAGATTCAGGTGACCCATCCAGAGCAGAAGACTGAGCCTCAGGAAGGTTACAGATACCCTTCAGTGCCTGTGTGATGGTGCTAACTGAGGATGCATCAATCCAAAAAACAAGAGAAAAGCTGAAGGTAATTGAATTTGAATTAAAAGGCATTGGAATGGTATTCAGTAGATACTCACTGGTCAGACATCTCCTCAACAAACTTCAAGCAAATTTGAGTCTTTCCAATCCCCCCCATTCCATGCAACAGGAAGAACTTTCTCTTCTTAGCTCCGTCATTTGCGTTGGTAAAAAAATGCCTCTTGAGTTTGGCAATGACTTCTGTCCGTCCTGTGAACCGATTGCTTGGGTTTGGCGTGAGGGGGATGACCCCGTCGGACGTGGTCCTATTGCCGTTGTTGATGTTGTGGATGTGCATCTGCCGGAGATCCGCACTCTCAGCTTCATTCACTGGTACATTAACACGATAACCATTCTACTCACAGTGTTAGCATTATTGAATGTGCTGTTATTAGCAACAAAGTGGTGAGCACCCGCAAGAACGTTCGCTCCACTCATGTTGAGATATCGACGATGGAGAGGTTTCGGATGAGAGAGGGAAAGAAAGAAAGAGGAGCGCCCTGCAATCATTGGTCTATTTGTATATATGTATATACAGGCACGTGTCCATTTTCTTATCTTCGTTTTGGCCGCTTACCTTCTTCTGTGCGACTTTCTAGCATGTTCAATCCACCTACGGCGCTCACGACCTGGGAATGAAATCCGCCGGCGTTGAAGGTGCTTATTTATACCGTAATTTTTTTCCCGTATAAGTGCGTACAGCAGCGAAGATCGCTCGAGAATTCCCTGGGGATGAAGCTGCGCGGTGTACTCACTAGACATAGCATTCTCGGCTGACAAGCTTTGGGTAGCCTTCATGGCAGATTTACATCAGCACCCAATCATACAAGAAAACCGAACGCGATCTGCATGCCCCCCTTTTTCGCCTCAACAGCCCTTTCAGTCTCCGACCCTCGCTTGAAGTGAGTGCCCGGGTCAGAGGGCACCGAGTTCGCCCTTGCCTCAACATCTGTTGTCGTCACTGGAAACTCTTTCCCAAAGACGAGGTTTTGCGCGGTGGCTCAGTGCGTTGCGTTCTAGTGCCAATATTTTCTGTCTCGACTCCTCCCATTTGGTGTGCCTGTGTTGAATCGTATGGTCAGCTTGGGGCCCCTTGGTTGGCTTGAGAGAAAATGTCAAGTGAGTTTGTGTTCTTTTCTATGGTGGCGGTAGCTAACGATCGTCTACGCAGCTATTGAATGTCAGCGTATTCTCTCGCACACCCACATTCACCCACTCCTCTCAAACCAACAGTCAATGTTTACGCTGCGTCGAAGTTTTTGCAAAGGAAGGGCGGCTACTTGTAAGGGCAGAAGGGACGAATGAGCGTAGGTTGGATGAACCTAGTGAGATGGCAGGTGTCAGCTGTGGGATGGAGTTGCGATCCTGGGTGGAGGTGGAGACGTTAGCCGCGGTGCTCCGACTCGACGACCAGAGAGCCTTTGCGCGATATAAGGGAGGTGTGCGATCGAGGAGGGGAAGTGTGTGGAGACTCGTAGAGCTCGGTGTAATGGGGTACTGACGCTGCAACCTGAACCTCCAACTTGCCAAGTTTCGGGAGAGTGTATGTGGAGCTGCATTCTTCATTCAAGCCAATACCGCATACATCGTGGTTTTGAGCCCACCAACCAACATTGGTACTGGCAACACGCGACCTGGGGCCTCCAGACGAACTTTGGTCGGTGGAAATTGCACAACGACTCGGATTGACTTTGGATTGACTTCTCGGCAACATATACACGCATGCAGGAGGAACTCATAAACAACGGGGTGGAGTTTGGACATAGTCGTTTGGAGAGTGCGTGACATGTAGGTCTCGAATCATTGAATTATACATACAACTTTCAAATGACTACTATCAGTCGCAGGTACGATATAAGATGCTTCCGATCTCCATGAATGAATTACCATTGTAAGGCCCCCCGCAGTAATTTTTAGCATCGGGCCCGCTCGCTGCACAATTATACTCCCCCATGAAAAAGTTCAACGGCTTCGATGGGATACCCGGAGGCCCATAATCCCGCTTCCCAATCGTCTGCCCAGTCTTCACATCCGCAATAGTGAACGTAAGGTACTTCCCCCGTTCCAAATACAACTGGTATTCATAAAACTGTTGACCAGCTGCGCCATTGGTGGTGTCGGTGTACACCCCGCCGCCCTGGCGCTGGGGTGGCTTGTCAGGGATGTACGAGCCAGAGCCGGTGTAGAATGTGAATTCGGCTTGATTGTTCCCGCCACCGTAGATCTCTGCGATGTCGATCTCGTCGCAGTCGTGGTAGTGGCTGCCGTTGGGGTCGAGGGGACCGACGACGCAGAGCTCTTCGCGGAGGACGACGTTGGAGTTTTTACCGCTGTCTGGGGCTCCGCGCATGGTAATCCAGATGCTCCTACGTGATTATTCGCTCAAGTTCGATATGATATTTAGAGGAAGGGGAAAGAAACGGACGTGTAGGGAGCGCTACCGTCATTGAAAACGAAATCGTAGCGAAGCCGACTTTCGGTGTTGGGGTCGTTGATATCGGATGTTGAACTGAACATCCTGTACCCGTTTGGACCAGCCCCGCTCACTCCGATAGAGTTGTCATAGCCAGGGTAGGTCTGGTAGTTGAGGAAGTTGTGGGAGACGTGACGACAGCCGTCGGGGTCGAGTCTCTGCAGGAAGCTCGCGTTGCTTGCGAGGGCTTCGGCTTTGAATGCGCGCATGGCGACGTCGGAGGCAGCTGCACGCGCTCTGGATTGTCTCAGGCCATGTGCATGCCTGGTGGAAGTGAGTGACATGCTGGAGTCGTAGTTGGAGATGAGCGTGAAGTCGAATACAGTTTGGGCAAATGCCCAAGCTGAGAGGAGGAACTGCATTGTTCAGTGGGAGTGCTGATTTTTGGCGATTGTCCACGAAATGAGCGTACCTTTTTATCCTGACCACGGTCGCGTACTATGGCCGACATCCTACCATGAGCGCGGCAGCGCCGCCCCTCGAGTCCTTAGAACCACCTTGGTGCAACGGCCCCCGGACGAGTTGGTCTAATTTTATACCTGACCACGCGAACACGTGCCTGTCATGTATTCTGGCCTTTTAATAAATTTTTAAATTTCCAACTCATCCTCTTTGCTTTCGTCTTTCTCATTCCTCGGCGACTTATCCTCTTCATTGGATTTGCTCGACTTTCTAACCCGTTGTTCTGTATGGCACCAACTGGGCTTACGACTAGAGAATGAAATCCGCTGGCATTTGAAGGTACCTAAGTATAGGCTATTTATGTTGTGATGTCAATGGGCGCTGCTTTACAGTTCAACTCTGTATTTCCCCCATTCAAGTTCCTCCAGCGCGCATCAGCATCAACAGCATCATGGATTCGACCAGGTTCGACCTTCGCGATCCCTCTCGCAAGTTCCTTTTGTCCGTGAATGTGCCTGCTGCCAATGCGGAAGTTTATGATGAGTTGTGGTGATCGATCGTCGCCTAATGGCCACAATCATCATCATCACGGTCATCATCACACTCACCAGCAGTAGCACCAGCGACAGTCAACTGATAGCGCTCCCTCCCTATGATCCTTTACGGGAAGAACATGGGAGTGGGAGTGGTTTCGAGTACCAGATTGAGTGGCGAGGGACGAATATTGATTCGGGGTGTGAGGGGCTTTGTGTCGTCGGGAGGGGAGAGTGGAGGATGAGAATTTTGGAGGATTCTCTAGTGCACCATTCTGAGTCACATTGGCCCTCTCCGTAGATAAAAACATTCTTCACATGAGGTCTTTTGATGGAATTCTTGAACGGCTGGAGGAGTGACACGGAAATGGGGGGCTCACTGTCGTTGAACGAGGACGTTTGCGGCGAACCATTGTGCTTGGCAATGACGAGCAGCTTGATAGCTGCTCTGCGGGGATTGAATTGCAGAGAAGGAAGTGAAAACTCATCGTCTGATGTTGATGGCGTTCGCGGCAGAGTTCTGAATCGCGAACGTGGACCGAAATCTGAAGATGAGACGGATTATGTAGAAGAGGCGCAAGGACGAAGCGAAGAGAAAGTTGAGATGGGTGGACGCGGGAATTTGAGGGAAACATCAATGAATGCCAAGCTGAACGACTGAACCAGTGAGGGGACGGCACCGGACTGGGAGCAGTAGGTGGACGATAGGCAGGTTGGGATGCGGAGAGAAGGATGTCATTTCCATCCCATCTCAAGTGCCTATATGCGTGCAAAACCACCTCAAACCGCATACACCTTCCGCGCATTCTCTGTCCCCTCCTTCCCCCATTGCCAAAACAACGAACTCGGTCGTCCACGTTTCATCACCGTATGACATATCAGCGACACCCTTTCCTTCAAGCTGGCCGTGAGGGATTCGTATAGGTTCGAGAGACATGAAGGAAGGTTAACTTTAAGGAGGGTTTGGGGCTCCAAGAGAGAGCTGATGGAGAACGTTTGGTAGATCCGCATCTGTGAAGAGAGGGGATGAGGCTAGAAGGGAAAGGGAAAAGGGTAGGAGTACCCGCGATGTAGATGTAAACGTTGGGACACTGGGCCACGCTACGAATTCCGGCGTATCGAAGGAGCAGTGTGCGTGAATCTGTGATAGTGGTATGTTCTTGTAAGAACTGGGAAAGGATAGCTAACGGAAGGGGACAAACCTTGGACTCTTTCGGCATCTCCTCAAGTCCGCTACGTGTCGTCCTCCGCCTCATGGTACGTATCGCCAGTCGGTTTTCAAGCCTAACAGCGTGTTTGAGTTCAAGCCGTCCGAACATCATTTGTTGCGTGTCGAAAACTTGTTGTAGTAGTGATCGAAACCACTCTATTTCCCTGAATACGACGCGGCGTGTAAGGTCATGGCTTCTACTAGCGGGCTAGGGTCAGAGACGAAAGAGGAACAAAGATGGGGAGGTGACGTACGTGCCGTTTTCTACGGAATTGGCGTCGCGACTACGTAGCTCAGCCAGCTCCTAGCGCGAGATCTGGCCGTGACCAACAACTTGAACAGAATCAGTACTCGTCATCGATATGCACCAAACCCAAGTACTCACCCAAACGGAACCAAGACGCAATCCCACACCATCTCTCCTCCGTCCTCTCTTCAGCTACCGTCGAATCCGCGAGTTTCTTTCAGAGTTCCTGGGCAGGCGCCTTGCACTACTATACGGCTAGGTGTTCTTCGAATCCAGAGTGTTGAAACTGTTCTCCCCCCATTTTTTGACGTGTTTTGACGGGATTTTTTCAACTGATAGCACTGTAGTAGTTCAAAGGGGTTGTTGAGGGGGCTGTAAGCGGACTTTTTCGACCGGTTTTTCGAGTTTTAGTGGGTTTGAAAGACAGACGAGCGTAGGACGGCGTTGGTGTTTGTTTAGGTGATAGGTGCTTGAAGATAACTGCCACCGTTCCCCTTTCACCTCGTTCTCAAGCAAGTACAAAGTCCCAGTAAACTACAGAGATACGATGTGAATGATTGATTGAAAATACTACAACGCGCCCGCAGGCCTATGCGACTTGGAAATGTACACCATATCCGAATGACATTCCACATCTTCCGTGACCACCAATCTTTTTGTCAAATGCCTCCAACTGCGACCGGCCACTCAATAACGCCTGCATCAGCTGAGCTAGGTGTCCGTGGTCCTCGAGAGGTCTACCCAACTAGTCCGGCGGAGGGTAGCACATAGTGAGGGATGACGACATGGCACGTCAATGGATGTGCCACTGTCCGCGTCAGTTCAGGTGAGCAATGTGATTCCTTCCCCCTCTCCTCTTTTTTACATGAGGAGCAGGGGTCACGTCACTGTCGGTGGCATGGCAACCAATAACCGACGAACAACGATGACACACAGATACGACGAGGATACGCAGACGCACGACGACGGATGGCATACGTTGAGGATGACATACCCGACACACAAAATAATGATGACTACACACAATGACGACGACAATACACAGATGAACAATGATGATACAATGATGGATGGCATGTGTTCACGACAACCTGTTGCATCAATGGATGGTGAAGGTAGATGTGGAGACATGCACGGTTACCCATCCTCAAGTTGTATACACAGACCCCTCGTACATTAGAATACTTAGAATATATTGTTTCATGGCCACCTGACCCCTACAAAGACCGGTTTAGACCAGTTGCAAACCGGTTAAGACCAGAACTGGTTGAAACCGGTCTTGTAACTGCAAAAGACCGCAGAAAACTGGTCTGTTGCAGTTTGGTCCGGTTTTTTGAGGTTTCTGAAATTGGGAGGACTGGTTACGGTTACTGGGGAGGCGCAATGCCTGCGAAATCAATTTGTGTTTGCACCTATTTGGTCTCCCTATACATGGACGAGAATCAAGGAAAATCAATATTCTGTGTGACCCAGCACAATATCCGGAAATATTGATATACAAATTGGGACTAAAACAAGTTTTTTAGGGAATGGCCCGAGAATTTCCAAAGCAAGTCAATGATGAGGTGTAGATATCTCCCTGATCTATGGGGAGCAGTAAGATTATTTTTGATATTCTCGGGCCATTCCCTGAACAATCAAAAATAAAGTGTAGTCTTACTATAAAGTGTAAGGCCCATTGCCCGTGCAAAGTAGCTATTTTGTTTTCAAAACTGCCTGCGAAACGTGCTAAATTAGATTACATAATCACGCGAAGGAGGCGTCGCGTCGTGTCAACGCGTCGATGATACACATTCTCAATGACTATTAGGGCCACTCTACATTATCTCTACTACCCAAATTACTCCCAGAAACTTTTCATGACGCAAAGCATTGCCCAAAGGCCAAAAGCGGTGCTCCAATGCACAAGGCAGATCTCGCTCGTTGGCCCAACAGATGTGACAAGGAAGCGGAAAACATGGTGTCTTCATTTGGAAAAATTTATATGACCTCAAGCATGAACTATCTGACTACAAACAGCAGATAAAAGGCCAGAAAACAAGCCTCATTTTATGACTTTGACAAGACTCTGACTATCATGATGACCTAGTATAGTCACCAATTCAATTTTACCGCACATTCACATTGTGATCTAACATACATACATTTACTATGCCTTTACCAGCCTAGAAATTGTAGTGGAACACGAGGAAATTATTTGGGAAGATAAAACGAGACATTTGGCAGGATTTGTGTGGCTGTGCACTTAGTCATCCAGTCAAATCAGTTGCAGGCATTGCGCCTCCCCACGGTTACGGTCTAAGGCACTGGGCACCAAAAGACCGGACCGGACCGGACTTTCAAACACTAATTAGATTATTTACCCATTCAAGCATCCTCGCACTTGAGACAGCAACGAATATGTAGGGCTACATATGTATAAACATATGCTCTCAAAACTGTGGAATACGCTAAAATCTCTTTTGTCCTAGTATATTTACTCTCAATTTCTAAGTTTGGTGATGGAATTGTACATCCATCATATGCATAAAACAAACTTACAATAAAAAAAGGGATCAGATCCAAAAAATGAACAAATAAATATGATCTGAGTTCATATTTAGAATATGCTAAAATCTTGGCCCAGGAAGTTCAGCAAATTCTAAATATGAATTTAGATCATATTTATTCAATCATTTTTTGGATCTGATCTTTTTTTTTATTGTAAGTTTGTTTTATGCATATGTTGGATATACAATTCCATCACCAAACTTAGAAAATGAGCACAAATATGTTAGGGGAACACTGGTTTTGGTCTATTCACCAGTTTTTAGTGCCTATGTTTACACCTATGTGGCCCTTCATATCTGTCGCTGCTTGATGTGTTGGTTCCTTCCGAGCGCATTTTTTCATCCAGTGCTGAAACTGACACAAAGAGGCAAAATTGAATCCACCCTGTTTTAATGGAGGCACTTCAAATGTTAAAATTTTCGCTCAAGCAGCAATGGCTAAACTTTACGGAGGGATGGGCTGTCACAGATAGTGTTTAAAGGTCTGGTCCATAGGACCGAAAAAAACCGGTGGACCAAACTGAACCAGACCATGGTCTGGTCTTTTTTTCGGTTGCAGTTGCCCAAATTTGGGGTTGGTCCAGTTGCTGGTTGCCTCATTTCAAAAATCTTTTAAAACTGTTCAAAGACCAGTTTAAATCGGTTGCAAACGGTTAAACGGTCACATGCATTACACAGCCTTGTAACCACGTTTATTACCTTTAATTGGGTTTTTGGTTCATCAAAAACGGTTAAGAACTGAGAAAGATATAACCAAATCCATTTTGGCACAAATACTTGTTTGTGCAACTTGTACCAGAATGACTTTAATTCTAGCTCACTCAAACTTTCATCATTTTGCTTGATTCAGTTTTTGGATATTGACATTTTAGGTATGAAAATATACTCACCATCTATCAATATATGGTATGCATCAAATAATTTACAGTTGCCACATTACATTTTGCCTGAGTCTTTAGGTGATGTAATTCAGTTTCAGTCATATCTATGTCAAACCTTCATTAAATTTCTTAAGAATTGGTGGAATGATGGGTATTTATATGTTTTACTATGATATATAACAATTTTATGTTTTAGAGTAATAATAATTGAGATACAAATGGTTTATATTGGTACGACAAATCTTACGCAAAAAAACCGGTCTGAATTGGTTTGAACACGGTCCATAGACTGCAAAAGACTGGTCTTAGGTGGTCTGGTTCGGTTCCCTCAATATCTGGGTTGGTCCTAGACCGGTTGTGGTCCGTGGCTGCCTGTTTTCGGGGCAAAAAACCGGACTGAACCAGACCTATGAACACTAGTCACAGAACACGAACTCGAGTACTACACAGATGATGACGAAGATTCAGTGGATTTGTTAGGGAAGCTAACTTCGGAGATTAGGGAGGATGGTATAGATATTGATGAGGTAATTCATGTTGTTGGACAGGATGACGAGGATTGATAGGGTTATTCTTTGTTCAATATATTGTATACAACTTTACTTACCATCATGATGTACATTTTTCTCAAATTCTACTACACATTTACCCTCATTCTACTTAATGCACAAGTCATCAATTGCCACAACATTTACCAGCTATAACTGGTTCAAAGTCACCGGCTAAGCCGAGCTGAACCAGATTTGATTAGCTCTCAAGCAATCCACAAACCAGAACCGGCAAAAGCCGCCAGTTCAGCAAGCTGGCTTGTGGCTAGCTGAGCCGCGGCAACACTAAAAACAATCACTAGCCACAGTGAAAATTGAAGAACAATCTTCAATGAAATCTTGTTAGCCTTTATGTTTCTGTGAAGAGGATCGGCAGTGCCAAAGGAAGCCATGCACTCACCATGCATGAATGCTAGTATTTCTGTGAAGCAGAGAGAGGTGGTGCCTGTAGACTAGAATCTGAAGAGGGGTGAGCCATGGTCCTGCAAAGGAGTGTTCGTCATGCTCACCTGGGCTGTTCCTGGTTCTGCTGAGTAGTCCAGGGAATGCACCCAGGGTTTTTAAACCTTCCCCTCATGCCATATCGCTTGACTCAGCATAACTATTCAATAGTGCTAGGTCATAGCAGTGCAATGAGAAGGTGAGCGGATTGAATAGTGCTGACTGAAGGTGAGCAGATTGAATTGCCATGCTGACAGGCTTGACGCTGACAAATTTGGCAGAGCCAAATTTGTGTGGTAAGCAAGAGCTGGGCCCAGAGGCCTCCAAAAAAGCTCCTTACCCCACTCGAATTACTGGACTCCAGTGGACTATGACTGGACTATGAGTCCACTGGACTGGGACTGGACTCAGGAAAGTGGCTTGTAGTCCAGTGAGAGTCCAGTGGACTGGACTGGACTTGAGGCCAGTGGACTGGGCATTGTGCAAGCCAATCTGGCCTAGCAACTGGGCCACTGGAATCCACTGGACTCCACTGGACTCCATTGGAATCCACATGGATTACTGTACTATTTCGACCAAGTGTTCATGATTTTGGGAAATTTTTCACGCCGAGATGGCAATACTTTACCATCCCCCACATAATCCACATGGACTCCACTGGATTCCACTGGATTCCACTGGATTCCACTGGACTGGACTGGACTGGACTGCCAATCACAAAACTGGACTCCACTGGACTCCCAGCACAAAACTGGACTCCACTGGACTCCACTGGACTGCAAGCACAAAACTGGACTGGACTGGACTGGACTGGACTGCAAATCACAAAACTGGACTGGACTGGACTCCACTGGACTCTCCCAACACAAAACTGGACTGGACTGGACTGCCACAGACCTAAGTTAATCCAGAATTCCTGAACTTAGACTTCAAAACAAAAAATAAAATTGAAGTATATTTATTAATTTAATTAATTAAATTTACATAGATTCTATGTTACAGAGGGGGGAGGGAGGGGGAAGGGAAAGGGAAAGGGAGGGGAAAGGGAAAGGGAAAGGGAGGGGAAAGAGAGGAATGAATAGGAGGGGAAAGAGAGGAATGAATAGGAGGGGGAGGGAGCAAGGAAGGGGGAAGGAAAGGGAGGGGGGGAGAGAGGAGCAAGGAAAGGGGGAGGGGGGAAAGGGGGAGAGAGTGAAGGGGGGAGGGAGTGGAGGGGCCTCGTCGCCGTTCAGCGCTGGCGGGCGCTCGTCGTTTTTCGGGTGTGGTGGGGGCGGCGTTTTCGTCGGTGCTCGTTCGTCGTCGTCGTCGCGTGTCGTTGTCCCGGCGTGTAGTCGTCGTCGTTGCGTGTCGTTGTCCCAGCATGTAGTCGTCGTCGTCGTCGTGTGTCGTCGTCGTCGCGTGTCGTCGTCATCGCGGTCGCGTGTCGTGGTCGTGGTCGTGGTCGTGTGTCGTCGTCCCGGCGTGTAGTCGTCGTCGTCGTCGTGTGTTGTCGTCCTCGCGCGTCGTCGTCGTCCTCGCATATCGTCGTCCTGGCGTGTCGTCGTCCTCGCGTGTCGTCGTCGTCGTGTGTTGTTGTCTTCGTGTCGTCGTTCTTGTGTGTCGTTGGCCTCCTCGTGTGTTGTTTTTGTTGTTGCGTGCCGCTGGCGCCTGTCGTGGTGAGTACGGGGCATTGGGGTGGTGGGGCAGACATACCCTTGGCCCATGACGTTGACACGTCATGGGCGCCGTCCCTCGTTCTTGGCCTGTCCTTCCACGTTGGCGTGGGCATGGGCGTGGGCGGCGTTGGCGTGGGCGGCGTTGATGTGGGCGGCGTTGATGTGGGCGGCGTTGACGTGGGCGGCGTTGGCGTGGGCGGCGTTGGCGTGGGCAGTGATAGAGGTGGTGGTGGTGGAAGGGAATGGGATGGTCACGGAGGTGTGACCATGCCGCAAACAGGAGACGTGACGATATGGCACGCCCTCAAGTAAGTCACGTGACCTCACCCCGCAGACTGAACAAAATCATAAATCCTTATTGCAGCTATCACTGACCCACACTACATGTAAATTATAACCTTTCCTTTCATTGATCATTAAAATGTAAGTTTATTGTATACTCTATTTTCGCTTTTTTAGAAGTATTCATATATAATAATAATATACTGGAATGACTGGAATCCACTGGACTCCACTGGACTCCACTGGACTCTGACTGGACTCATAGTCCACTGGACTGGGACTGGACTCAGGAAAGTGGCTGGCAGTCCAGTGGGAGTCCAGTGGACTGGACTGGACTGGACTGGACTGGACTGGACTGGACTCCAGTGGACTGGGCATTCTGCCAGCCAATCTGGCCTGGTAAGAGGGCCACTGGAATCCACTGGACTCCAGTGGAGTCCAGTGGAGTCCATATGGATTACGTGGGGGATGGTAAAGACCTCCCGAGATGGCCGAAAATTTTTCTTTTGATTTAAGACGAATAAAAAAAAATAGTTTTTTTGTTGATGTGACATGTGACGTGAACACTTGGTCGAAATAGTACAGTACATGGGGGATGGTAAAGACCTCATAGCCATGGGATGGTTTGCAAGGCAATATATATCATACAGCAGGGTTGTAGTACATTGGGCATGGGATACCTAGTATGTAGAACAATTACAATGGTTTTTGTCATATGGTGAGTATGCAAGGTTTTGTGAACTTGCTATGAAGACTTCTTTTTTTGTTCCAGTCCACATCCAGTGGCAGCATCTGATGGCTTCCAGTCTATGGTATGCATGAACTAACATTGTCTAATGGAACTGACCTGAGATTGAGTGAGTGCATTGAGATGAGACCCTGAGACCTTGAGACCAAACCCACTGGAACATGAAACAATTTATTTACATAGTTATAGCAAGCCTTTAGCCACCATTCTTCCTAGTGTTCGAAAGTCTGGTTAGGTCCGGTTATTGGGTGCCCAGGGGCTCTAACCGAGACCGAGACCGGTTAGCCTTTGTCCCGAAACCTAAAATAACCTAACCGGACCGCAACTAACCGGTTACAGTCAGTTATTTGCAGTTACTAACCGGTTAGGACCGAAAAATAAAGAATCGGTTATAACAAGGCAAATATGCTCATATGTATCTTGATAGATATTATTTCTGCATATTCTAGCTTTAAAACGAGCCCAAGAACGCTAAAATCGGTGAAGAATTGACATATTTATGCAATTATCCTTGAAAGTCTACACATTTGAGTGATATTTTAGAGATTTGACCGTAACTTAGTCAAATTTTAAGCATTTTCGATGTTCTCAAGTGCGTTTTGAAGGTGTATAATAGGGCTGGTTATAACCGGTTATAACTGGTTATTTAACGGTTAGTTAACCGCAAAATAACCGGTTATTCCATTTTCGAAATCAACTAACCCTAACCGCGGTTAGGTTAGTGTTGCAGTTAGGTCCAGTTATTTTCCGGTTATTTTCCGGTTAACTAACCTAACTTTCAAACACTAATTCTTCCAGTTAGTTACCCACCGCCCTTGCAATGTGATAATGAATGCCCATCAACACCAGCCTGGTTGACCTTGCCAATTTTTCCATGTGGTGTCATTGTCTGTGGGTGGTTGATGTTCATCGTTGTCTGTGGGTGGTTGTGGTCATCTGCATGTTCTGGTCATGGATGTGGGTCATTGTTGTGGGCGTTGGGTGCCGTTCATGGGTGGGGGGCCAATGTTCATGGGCACTGGGTCATTGTTCACAGCTGGAGTCGTTGGTGGTGGGTTCTTTGTATGTGGGTGGTGTTGTTGTTTGTTGTTCATGGTGGGCATTGTTTGTGGGTGTTGGGTGTTGTACGTGGGCCCTTGTTTGTAGATGGTGGGTTGTCATTGGCACTGGGTTGTCATTTTTTTGTGGGCAGTGATGCTTGTTCATGTGGACAGGTTGTTTGTGGGTGCCAGTTTGTCATTTGTTGGTGCAGTATTGTGTGGTCACGGTTAGTGACATCAGATGGGAGAAGGGAGGGGGTACTCACCATTGTAAACAACAACAACAAACAATAACATGGCACCTGGAAACCTCCCATCCAGTTGGTGATGTGGCAGCGCCATGTCATTCTGCTCTGTTGCTGTTGTCATCTGTGTATGCTGTGAGGTTGTAAGCAGTCATGGTCATTGTTCTCATTCATGTTGTAGTTATGGTTGATGTCATTGTGGTTGTTGTGTGTTGTTGTCATGCTGTGTTGTCATGATGTGGCATGGCCACAGTGTTTCTGTTGTTGTCCACATGTGCTGTGGGTTTGTAAGTAGTTGTGGTGGTCAATGCTGTTGTTGTGGTCATGGTCGGGTGTTGTGTCATTGTCATGGTGGTCACAGTTGAAAGAAAAAGGTGATGTGACATATCACATATGAAAACCATGACCAACAAATGTAAGGTAGAGGACATCCACTTACTTCTAACATCACGTGTTGTTACATTTCTGTGACATCCCTTTTCAAATTAAGAAAGTTTGCTCATAAACATGAAAGAAAAGAGTGTATGATATTCTCATTGAAGTTTTAACAAAATACAATTCCATAGAGTTGTTTAAATGTAAGTTAGGAATGTATATACAGGTTTACAAGCATTAATCATGAGTTATGGGTCCAAGTGATGGAAAATATAAAAGTATGTACTATAATGAAAGTGAAGTAGGTCGAGAAGGAAAAATGTCAGTTTATTTTGGCCTTTTCCATGTCATCCATGAGTGGTTGCAGAAGAATATGATGTCCACGATATTTTCGTGCTGCTTAGGTAGCTTGACTGCTGTTTAGCCCCTTTTTGTATGCATCCATAAAGTGCTCAGCCCTATTGGCAAACCTGAAAAATGTTAGACTGGCATCTAGAAATCAGAAAGCCTCAACTGGATATAGGTACTTCATCTGCTTTGTTTTCCCATTCCAGATGCATCAGTTTCTAGCCTAGGTAGGTATTTAAGCACAATGTGACATATAATTGATGTATACAACAATATTTTGGGTTGGGAACTGCAAATATCAATTTTTCTCCCATTCTTTCTCTTTACATCTTAATAGTACTACATTTGGGGTAACTCTATGGAATTACATTTGGCAAAAAGTGTTTCCATTGCCAATGGCAAAGAATTTTAAGTACATTTCTTGGAACAGTCATGCTTGGCATGTGATGGTGGAAGCAAGTGGATGTCCTCTACCTTATGCATGGGATGCATCCAAGCACCTGTCCATGGGTCATGTGACTTATCACATGCATCAATCCTGGGACTAGTCCTATCTGAAAATCCTCAGGACTGTCTTCAGTCCTCAGGAATGGACCCCCGCCAGACTGAAAAAAATTGGCTGGTACATCAGCCAATACTCAGTCCTGGGACTGTGCAGGAATCCTCAGGAATCCTGCAGGAATCTGTGGGGGACAATAAAGACCTTGAGTGTGTTGCTATTTTATGTGTAATATGTTGAAAATTATACCTGTTTAGATGCTGCTAGACTTCATTCAAATTTTATTTTAAGTTAGAAAAAAGAAGTAACTGCTGTGAGGTATAGGAGTACTTCCTGTATACTTCTTTTTGAACACTTTCTGTACTCATAGAATTAGCAGTGTAAGATTTAAGGACAAACTATGGATCAGAAAAGGAGACTAAATACATTATAAGATAATTGATGGTGGAGGACGTAGCTAGCATTGCCAAAGTTCAGTCCAAAACTTTGGTTTGAACCTGAACCTCTGAACTGAATGCAAAGTTCAGTTCAGGTTCATGTTCAGGTTTGGGCTCCAGAAACTTTTTGGAGAACATTGCATGAGTGGGGAAGTCTTAGACAGTGATGCCAAACAACCAAACCACAATCTGATGTAGTAATCCCAGGATTACAACAGTGTTGTGAAATCCATTGATTTTAGAACTGGGATATTTAAATAATAAAAATAAAAATATTTGAGTCCACAATGCTGTAGAGTGTTATTCTCAGCAGTTAGACCTTCATCTACACCTCAAGAGACAGAAACTGAACTCAGAAATTAAAGATTTGTTTCTTCTTGGTGTATGCATAACTCAATCATAGAGATGTTAGAGGAATCATAGGTATAGAGGATGTATCAACTACTAAGGGGAGTGGAGATGAACAAGAAGAAATAGAGCAGACAACAACACATACAACATTTGACATTTTGCAAAGAAACAGGATCATTAGAATTTGGATAGCTCTGTATCTTTCTATACATTTTGAAGATGAATATTCAGTGAGCATTGACAGCAAGAAACAAAGCATACCCTCTAAAAATTGGAGAAATTTATGACACCAAAGATTCTAAGAACATATAAAATGGAGTTGACTTGCCCACTATATATCTGAAATAAGTGACTCCGTTTAATAATGTTAAGAAATACATACTTGCTAAAAAAAAGAATGGTTGAAAGAGGAAAGTGCTAGAATCTGAAAATGGATCAAATACATACAAGCTACAAAACATGAGCATTATTGTGTAACAGGAAATAAAAACATACAATCTGAGTTAAAAAAGCACAGATTAGGGTGATGGAAATGAGAATAAATGAATAACCTACATTCTGAAGAAAGGAAACACAAAAATGTCATAAAATTGGTCCACAGGGTGCTGAAATTTGACTAACATCCTGGAAGATATTGATTGGAGATTAATTATCTGATAAAAAATAATGTTTAAAAACATGTAGATTAAAAAATGAAAGCTACCAAATAACACTCACAAGACATGGAGTGCAGACATACTTTCTATAAATGAAAAGAATGAGTGCAATAACAAAGTGAGTAGGATAAGAATGTAAGCAACTCACAAGCTAAAAAGAAAATGTCAAAAATGGGTTGCTCAAAAAATATACAGTAAAGAACAAATAACTTACATACTAAAAAACATGAAGACAGATATGTGTGACAAGAGTAATTCATGACCAAAAGCAAAGCACTTACCACCTAAGAAAGATGCACCAAAATATGTGTTACCACAAGAGTGCACATTAAAAACCAGTCCAACTTACCCCCTGAAACAAGACAGGCCACAGTCTGTGTTACCAGAAGAGTGCACATTAAAAACCAGGCCAACTCACCCACTGAAACAAGACAGGCCACAGTCTGTGTTACCAGAAGAGTGCACATTAAAAACCAGGCCAACTCACCCACTGAAACAAGACAGGCCACAGTCTGTGTCACCAGAAGAGTGCACATTAAAAACCAGGCCAACTCACATACTGAAACAAGACAGGCCACAGTGTCACCAGAAGAGTGCACATTAAAAACCAGGCTAACACACATTCTGAAACAAGACAGGCCACAGTCTGTGTCACCAGAAGAGTGCACATTAAAAACCAGGCCAACTCACATACTGAAACAAGACAGGCCACAGTCTATGTCACCAGAAGAGTGCACATTAAAAACTAGGCCAACTCACATACTAAAATAAGACCAGTCACAGTCTCCATCACCAGAAGAATGCACAGGAAAACCAGGCCAACTTACATTCTGTAAAATAATGGCCAGAACATGTATCCTCAGAAGAATACATTATGAAAGGAATGTTAACTCACCACCTAAAAAAACACATTGCCAGATTATGTGTTTGAGAAGTGTACAAAACAAAATGCAAGAAAACATACTTTCTGAAATATGTCAAAGCACATCATGATCACCAGAACAGTGCATGAGAAAAGGAAGGCAACATAATGAGTCATCAGAAGATGGAATAATCAATAGGGAAACATCTTACCACCTGAAAATGGTAGGTTCAGCACAGAATTGAGTCAGAACAAAAGAAATTATAATTACTTACCCACTAAAAAAATCTGTTATAGGCATATAGAGGCATTGTAAATAGATGGCATCTCACTGCCTGGATTTATAAACAAGCATATTAGCTTTATAAGTAGCATGATCAACAGTTATTACTTACTTCCTAAAAGAAATAGACAGCTGATGATAAGATGTGATGTATCATACAAAATAATTGCCCACATACTAATGAGAACTATTAGAATATATTAAAACTTGAACAATTTGAAGACATACATTCTGCAAGAAAAAACGACAACAAGAATAAAACTCTGCTTTGACCATAATTGTTTTGGTCTTACTTCCTGTGCTTTATCAACAGCAATAAAATGTTATTATGTCTTGGCTTACATTCTGTGAGACAGGTCAATATTTTATTTTGAGGCATTTTAGTTACTGTTTATCACCACATACCTCCTATTCACCTTACAGATTAATTTTTGAGCAGTATTATTCTTCTGTTACTTACTGTCTGTTGGAAGATCTTAATAAATCAATGAATATATCTTAATTATAAACTCTTACTTCATAAAAATCAAGAACTTGTTGAAATAGCCCTCCCAAATTTCTTGTAACAATTGACCTCTGTGATGTCTTATACATGTCAGAGTGTGATGACCATCTTGAAATTGTAATTACTAACTTTGAACAAATTCTTTGCATCAGTTATGCACAATAACATCCTTTTTCTCTCAGGAAGTTCAAAAGTCAGCATGGTATTATACCATGTATTACCCTGAAAAGTCAGTAAATTTTTTATGAGAGTTACCAAAGAGGTCATGATTGTTTCATCCACATTTAATGGCTGCTTCTGAAATCCTAACAGAGTATGCTGTGGCCAATTATAGAAAGCATACTTGGCCACATGACCATCAAAAAAGTCTTTTGAAGGATATTTTTCCAGATGCTCCAAACAGTGTATGGCCAGATGAAGGTGTTGCAGAGGAGGATCAATGAAATAGTGCTTTGATCGTGATTTGAGGGTCAGAAAATCCCGAAGAGATGTGTGATAGAGCATAACAGGCTCATTATCATCTCCAGGAATTTTGATAATTGACTGTACCCCCAGTAGCTCATGAATAACCTCCTCATGCTGAAGATCGAGGAGGGAGCTAAGAAAAGAGATAGATTCATTGTCCTCCAGAATTATGATTGTTCCAAGAATCTGATAAAGAGATATTGTCCCAGAAGCAGAGGAAAGAACTTGTTTATAGAGTGGATCCAGACCATCAGCTCCAGATTCCAAAAGCTGTTTCAATGCTATGTGTGGCATGGAATCTCCTCCAACATACTGAATTAATGTCATAGCAAATGCAAATGAACTGCCAGCTTTATCAAGGAGTACAGTAAGATCTTCAGCTGATGGCCAGGGCTTCGGGATTCTCTGCAACATCCAATGATTCTGCTCAAAGATACGAGCAAACTCCCTTTTGAAGTATACCTGAATGTCTGAACGAGCATCAAAATTCTCCAAGTCCAGATGGTACAAAAGTTGAGCCTCAGAATGATCAAATTTTTTCCGAATGTGCTCCTCCACCCTGCTGGTAAGGAGTATTCGGAAAGGAAGATAGTTCCCTCCTGGAAGTGCATTGAGCAAAACATCAATAAAGGCAGCCATTTCAGCCTTATCATTACATTCATCAAGAGCATCAATAACAAAGATCTTTTGCTTTGCAAGATGAGAGAAGACTTTGAAACTGGAGAGGACTTTGGAAGTGGTGGAATGGATTGGTTCTATGATTAGCTTCTGAAATTGGTAAGCCAAAGAGACAGACAGCCCAAGAATGGCTGGCTCATCTCGAAGAGCCTTCTCAAGCAAAGGCTTAACAGCAGGAAGAGAAAGGGAGATCTGATGTGCAAGAGTAGGAATCAAGCGAGATATGTGACTCCGTTCACCAGCCCCTCGAAGAAAGAAGAAGCACCCTAGAAGACGACCCTTTGCGGCGTAGCGCTCAGCAATGGTTTGAGCCACCGCTGATTTCCCATAGCCAGCTGGTCCACTGAGCCAGCAGATAGGAGCTCGCTCGTCAGAGCCGTTAAGCCACTCCTTGATCTGAGCGATGAGCTCTAGGCGGGTTCCGGGATCACATCGAGCAACGTGACCCGTGCGAGTATGGGTAGCGTTACTGACGGGCCTAAGCAAGCCCGGAAGACCTAGATGCCATGAACCATTTGATAGCATTGGCAAATTCATATTAAACCCGACGTACCTGCAGGAGGGGCCGGAGAGCCATGAAGAACGACGTCGCGGCCGGCGTTAATGACCTGCGCGCTTCCAGATATGGTGGTTCCGATAGCGTTTTGCAGGAGGGCGGTTGATGAAAGGGGTTCCATGAGTGAAATGAGGTGTCGGAATATGGAGACTAGAAAAGTTTGAAGGGCTGAAGACGTCGATAGGTTGGGCGGTATCGTCGTGGTTGATGAAGAAGAGGTCAGATCAATCGGAGATGAGTTGTGAGAATTCGTTGTCGGAATTCCAATCGGTGACGAAACTCACTATGTGCTCTCAAATACCGACGCAGACCAACGTCAACTCGCACTACTGAGCCAACTCTTGCGACCAACCCCCGCAAGATTGCACTTTCACGCCAGCTCACTTGTCTTCGCACCTCTCGGCTGCGGCGAGCATTCTGGGTCGAAATCCAACATTATCCAGTCCCCTTGCAGCATGCTGCAGTATGGGTTCACAATTTTCAGGGAATGACCAGCTCGTTCGAACAAGATCACAATTTCCCCCAAAACTTTCACTGTAAGACTTTCTATTCCCTCAGCACTATAACTCTTCGAGTCGTATCTAACCGTTTGAATAGCAGGACCCTCCAGCGACCAAAAACGAACCTTGTGAAGTGAAATGAAACGAAACGATGGGTGAGAAGCCTAATCAAAATCGAGCACCAACAGAAAATCCCTGTTATCGACATCCACCCCACTCCCCATTAACAGCCGTCCAAACCCAGCCCCGTCTCACCCGCCTCCCTCTCCCTACTCCCCTCGTCGAGATCTTCCTCTTTCTCTGGCGCAAAACACGCGAGGAAGGCGAAGCACCATCCAGAACCACCCTCCACCCCCATCTCCGTCCTCATTCAATCCTAGACGACGTTCAACGTTCAACGCCCACCTCTTCCTCCATCAACATTCCTCCAGGGATGGCTCAACCCTTCCCATCCCTAACCCAAGCTCGACCCTAGCTCGCCTCTCGTGTACCCCAACATCCTCTGGAGACACCCGCCGTACCCTGGCATCCGTGCGGCCTGCGTTTCTCAGGCACACACTAGATCCCTCTTTTAGCCATCTTTTCACGGATTGGAACGTCGACGAGCCTCAGACCTGGATGGCGTTTGGTTGTATATGACGTGGCTGGGAATGGAGAGTCACGATCGTGTAGCCGATGATATGACTCCCTCTCAGATCTTTTCGGGCTGGGGTGGATCCGCAATCCAAATGCACTGAAGAACTTCTGATCGAGGCACTGCGAGGCGACATCCGGCTTGTCACCCTCCTCAAGCCCGAGCTCGATGCCGGAGTCAAATTGGAGCTCCTTGAGACTTCTCACAATTTGTGAAGAACGTGAACGAAAAGGCGCGGCGAGGCTTGAATTTTTTCTTCTTCTTGGTTGGCAGGAGGCGTAAGACGGACATCTACGTCCCCAGGAATGGATGTCGATGCCTCAAACCCAGCAGATCGCACCCGCAAGTCTCTCCTACCGCAATTCATGCCAGCCCATCTCTCCATCTCCTCCCACTTACGCTGCCTCATCTGTGATGCCCTACGAGCGCAGTCTGTCAGTCGTTCTTGGACCTTGATCACTGTGCCGTTGACTCCTTCCATCGGATCCCGATACCTCTGCCTTAGTCATACCAGCACCTTGTCAGGCGTTTCTCTCAAAGACGCTGGGATGCACGCTCACAAGAAAGTCTACTTGTAGCTCGACATGCTCTCTGATCCAAGATTCCGCGTCTGTATGCTCTCTCGATACCCAACTCCCACCTACAGCCACGGCCCACGGAAAGGTGTGCACTTTCTGCTATTACCCTACTTTTAACCGCCTTTCATGACCCAATCGACGCCTTGCAAAAGCTTGAGCCACTCTTTCACTCGATTCCACCGCAACGATGGCCCATTTCGGCGGAGCTGACTTCTGCACGCGGTTAAAGATGCCTATTGGGCTGAGCTTCCGACAACGAGCTCTGCGGGAGGTTGAGCTTCGTCGAGGCCTTCGAGGTTCCTTGAGAACAAGATGAAAGCGAAACGGCGCCAGTTGTAGAATCGTAAACCGTGATCAAGCGCCGACCACGTGACAAATACCAACGCTACCCTGTACCCGTCTTTCAAAAGTCGAAAAACTCCTCACAAAGCCCTCAACAACCCCTTAGAGCTACTGCAGTGCCTTCAGTCCAAAAGCTCCCGTGAAAACCGGCCGAAAAATGGGGAAGAACCGAAGAATAGTGCGAGGCGCCTCTCCAGAAACTCTGGAAGATTTGGTAGTAGCTGAAGAAAGGATGGAGGACATATAGCGTGTGATCGCGTTTTGGTTTCGTTTGGGAGCTGGTGAGTACTTGGGTTTGAATGACATGTATGTACTGATTTTGTTCAAGTTGTTCATCTTTTGGCTATCCATAGTGCACGTCATGAGGCCAAACTTTGCAAGTACGTCGCCTCCCCTTCCCCATCTTGATCTCTCCTCCGTCTCTGACCCCGGCCTCCTAGGGGCCATGACCCACCTTTCCTGCGCCATAATTGTCGAACTGTGATAGGGCTCAATCACTACCAGGACAACTTTCCGACGAGCAACAGATAGTGTTCGAACGGCAACTCAAACACGCCGTTAGGCTGGGAAACCCATTGGTGATACGTACCCAGAGGCGGAGGATGATACGTAGCAGACTTAGGAGAGGAGATGACGAAAGAGAGGTTCGTTACATCCCCTTTTCTATCCTTTTCCCAGTTCTTACAAACATATACCACTACTGCAGATTCATTTACACTTACTCTCCGATACGCTAGAGTTGCAGCGTGTCTCGTGGCCTACTTCCTCAACCTTTACATCCTCCCAGCAATTACATCTATGTTGTGGTGCTGGGGCGTTATCAGGTACGCAAAGCTCGTTGTGTACGTTTCTTGTTCCTCATGCCCCCCTTTGTTTAGGGTGCGAACGTCGAAAACCGTCGACGTCTAATCGCATAGGAGAGGTCCGTAGTTTGAAGACACTTTCCCCATTTACAGTCGAGAAAAGGTCTGAATTTCTTCTATTTCTTTTGACTCGCCCATATGGCTCATTCCATTCTCCTTTTCTCATAGTATCCAGGCGACATCTTTGCCGATTATTCTTTGAAGGATGGGAGGGTTACGGACGTTATCGAGCGGCTGCTCGCCAGTACCAACGATATCCACCAAATATCCACAAACGACTCTCTCGCAGCGCCACTTCAAACTCTCTTCGAAACAGGCACCCCTTCATGAACCAGGCACCTATACAACACCCTCCTGGTTCTTTGAAGAGGAGGAAGCTGCCGATATGCCATACGGCGCTAACACCGTGGACGGCGGAGGAGAGGGATACTACGTGGAGTGTTCATGGGGTCCGGAGGTCTTGGCCTAGGTGCCTGTAAGGAAGGATCAAGCTGCTCGTCGTCACCAAACGCACCTACCTTCAACGCGTCCTACTGTCGCCTTCTTTTCCTTCTGGAGAGTTGTGCTACGAACGCGGAAATGGCGAGGGTGAATTGGGTTCAGAGCGGCCCCAGACTCGCGAGCTCTCTTAGTCTGATCCTCTCCCCTCCCAACATTCATCACCAACCCTTCGAGCCTGAAACCTCTCCCCATTCCTCAACATCACCTCATCAGCCATACTCAAAACCACTGCATCCTTGCCCGCCCTCCGCATCGTCAAGGTCTTGATGATGTCAACGACGGACGACAACAACATAGCCTCTCGTCACATAAGACTCCCTTTTCCGTGCCGCCGCTTCCCTTTGTTGTGTTTGACCGCCACAACCAGGGGCAGAAGTTGGCGCCTAAACAGGGTACGGCAACATGAAACAAACGTTGTTCGGACGGCAACTAACACTTGAGACAGGGTCCAAAGAATATTCAGGACAAATTTGGACATATGTACCTCCATAATTGTGGCCATTTGTAAAATAAAGAAGCTGGTGTGCATCCAGAAAACATCAATTGTCAAAATTACAAAATGAAGAACAATAAGAATGTTAAGCACATTCAATTTACATATCTAAACAATTTCTTTGGGAAATAATCTTGGTAGCCATGGCAACACCACTCAGCTGAAGATTATGTTGAAGAATAAAATAACGGAAATGACCACTCGTTGTGCTCAATGTTCTTATTGTTCATCAATTTGAGATTTTGATAATCAATATTTTCGGGATGCACATCAGCTTTATTATTCAACAAGTGTCGACAATTATGGAGGTACCTTTGCCTAGATCACACATTGGACCCTGCCTCAAGTGTAAAACACGCTGCTAGGCTTCGTGTTACATATGTACAGGACGATATTAAACGGCTATTGAAGGAGGTGTTGAAGGATTTTAAGGTTCGTTTTGTTCCCTCTTTTGTTGATATCACCTTATGGTCACTACCGCAGATCCATATGCGCTGCTTTTTCAATACACCTGATTTTCTAAACCACCCTTTACGACCCAACTGATCGTGTAGCAGTTCGCCTCGTACACCTTGCAAAAGCTTTCAACGAATCAGAGGGACTCCTTTGCCCGATTAGGTCGCAACGATGGCTCATTTTGGCGAAGCTGGCTTCTGTGCATCTCTGAGAGACCACGCCCGTCGTGGTTGCAGGTTCTGATGGCGCTGAGATCTTGTTGGTGAACCGTGTTAGGAGGCTGAGCATCGTCGAGGTCTTGGATGTTCGTTGGCGGAGATAATGTCGATGGCTGTAAAGAGTGCTCGCAGGCGAAAAAGGGGGTTGTGGTCGTTTGACATTCAAAAACGTGAGGTCAAGGGACCCTGCCAGCCTTTGCTCAATTCTTGATCTTTCAGTAAGTGCATCTTCATTTCGCTCCTATGAAGGCGGTAGCTAATGAGTCAGCTGGCTCTCGTAGGATGGGATACGTCGACTCAAAGTTCCAGCACTTTCTACCGCAGCCCGTCTACGTCTTGAAGCAACTCTCCTTAGGAGGATCAATCCGACGCTACCGCAACATCAAGTGCAATGCCGAGACTCGCAAACGAACCCCTTCCACTTGACTTACATTATGTCAAACGAATGATAACAACCTAGCCTCTGTACTGCCCTCCTTGCGGTGACGCCTCCCTTGTCTCCCATTCCCGACCCGGTTTTTGGCCACAACTCAGGGACACGAGCCATGCCCAGCCACTCTATGCACTACCCTCCGCCGGACTAGTGGCTCAGCCGATGCAGGCGTTATTGAGTGGCCGGTCGCAGTTGGAGGCAGTTGACCAAAAGATTGGTGGTCACGGAAGATGTGGAATGTCATTCGGATATGTGTACATTTCCAAGTCGCGTAGGCCTGCGCGCGCGTGTAAACGTCGTAGTATTTTCAATCAACCCTTCACATTTTATCTCTGTAGTTAACTGGGACTCTGTACGTGCTTGAGAACGAGGTGAAAGGGGAACGGTGCCAGTTAGATTTAAACACCCATCACCTCAACAAACACCAACACCCGTCTGTCTTCCAAACCCACGAAAACTCAAGAAACCAGTCGAAAAACTCCCCTTAAAGGCCCTCAACAACCCCTTTGAACTACTGCAATGCTATCAGTTGAAAAACTCCCGTCATCAAAACACTTCAAAAATGGGGAGAGAACTCCTGGATTCAAAGAACACCCAGCCGTATAGCGCAAGGCGCCTATCCAGGAACTCTGGAAGAAACTCGCGGATTCGACGGTAGCTGAAGAGAGGATGAAGGAGAGACAGTGTGGGATTGCGTCTTGGTTCCGTTTGGGTGAGTACTTGGGTTTGGTGCATATCGATGACGAGTACTGATTCTGTTCAAGTTGTTACATACCACTGCTAGTCGTGATGCCAATTCCGTAGAAAACGACACGTACGTCACCTCTCGTTCTTCCTTCATTTCTGACCTTAGCCCCCTAGAAGCCACGGCCTACAACGGAAGGCGTCGTATTCGGCGAAATAGGTTAGGTTTCGATGACTATTACAAGAAGTTTCCACCATGCAACAAAGGGTGTTCGGACGGCAACTCAAACGCGTCGTTAGACTGGGGAACCCACTGGTGATACGTACCCATGAGGCGGAGGACGACATGTAGCGGATTTCAAAGGAGGAGGTGCTGAAAGAGTCCAAGGTTCGTTCCCTTCCATTGGCTATCCTTTTCCCAGTTCTTACAAGAACATACCACTATCACAGATTCACAGATGTGGATCTACCAAACGTCCTCTATCAGCCCTCTCTTGGAGCTCCAAACCCTCCTTAAAGTTAACCTTCCTTCATGTCTCTCGAACCTATACGAATCCCTCACGGCCAGCTTGAAGGAAAGGGTGTCGCTGATATGTCATACGGTGATGAAACGTGGACGACCGAGTTCGTTGTTTTGGCAATGGGGGAGGGAGGGGAAAGAGAATGCGCGGAAGGTGTATGCGGTTTGAGGTGGTTTTGCACGCATATAGGCCCTTGGGATGGGAATAGAAACAACATCCTTCGCTCCGCATCCCAACCTGCTTATCGTCCACCTACTGCTCCCAGTCCGGTGCCGTCCCCTCACTGGTTCAGTCGTTCAGCTTGACATTCATTGATCCGTGTCCACCCATCTCAACTTTCTCTTCGCTTCGTCCTTGCGCCTCTTCTATGGTGCACGTCACCTAAACACCGCTACTTTTGTACAAAGGTTATTGACGACCCAGATCTCACCCCTTTCCTTATTCCTTTTACAAAAGTGATGCATTTGGTTGAACGAAAAAAACTGTTACAGAAGGTTCCGAATTTCGAGAGTCCGATCCGCTGCCGCCACCAAACGCGGTCACGAGCCTCTTCACCTTTGCGCAAGCCAACTTTGCGCCGTTCGTGCGTCGAGACTTGACAGTCGCTGTCGACCTTCTAGTGTTATCCGCCAAGTTTCCACTACAAACCCTAACATGGGTGCCAGCAATCCAGTGCTACACTCAACCCGTGACCCTCATCGCCAACGCGAACCTTCATGACCAGCTTGGCTTCGATTGGAAAGGTGCTGATGGCAGCGACACATGCTCCTTTGCGTTCTGTTCAATGAAAATACAACTCCCATCCAACCTAGCGCCAGGAAACTACTTCGTCTGCCACGAAATCATCGCTCTCCATCTTGCCACATCACTCAGCGGTGCAGAGTTCTATCCCGCCTGTTTGCAGCTCATGGTTGGCGCATCGGGGACTGAAGTCCCTGACCCTTCGGGGTTGGTCAGTTTTGTTGGAAAAGGACTAGTATACCCTCAGCCGATGGAAGAGCGACTATATATCACTGGAAACCGTACCTAGTATACCCTATGAGTAGTACTTGAGTTAGTCCAATGATATAGTAAAGGCGGGATCCGTTACTCACCTCAGCCGATGGAAGAGCGACTGAGGGAAGGAACGAACCCCTGTACAGTAGTTATAGTAGTGGTTACGTAACACGATCATCCTCGATCACGATCTCGGATGTAGACTTCAACACTCCTCCTCAAATCGAGGATCGGTGAGAGGGTAAAAAGAAAAGAAAGATAAAAGGAAAATAAAACAAAATTGACGAACATGGGGGAGATAGATGTGAGGAGAAATAGATAGGTGAATCCGAGCGCCGGGTGCATCAAAACCCAGTGGGAAAAAGCTACCGGCTGGCAAGGTCGAAAGAAAATCTACTTAGGTTGAAGAAGATTAAAAATCGAAACGCCAACCAGAAATGCTCCTCCTCGCACAAGTATCACCGGAGTCCAAGGAAAGGCCGCAGGCGTGTAAAATCGGGACGAGGCAGCGCCTTGGTGAAGATATCAGCAACGTTGTCGAAACCGGGGACACGCCAAATGGTGAGGGAACCGTCGTCCACGCGCTCGCGAACGAAGTGATGACGGACGTCAATATGCTTGCTCCGTGAATGGTGGGTAGGATCCGAAGAAAGGGCCTTGGCACCGTTGTTGTCACATAAGAGGACGGTTGGTCCGGGCTTGAGAAGGTGGACTTCACGAAGGAATTGCCGTAACCAGAGGGCTTCACGGCTGGCCTCGCTAAGAGCAATGTATTCCGCCTCAGTGGAAGAGTTGGAAACAGTCTTCTGTCGGCGCGAAGACCAAGTAAAGACGGCACCACCAACGGAGAAGCAGTAACCCATAGTGGAGCGGGTGGTATCTGGGCAGTCAGCATGAGAGGAGTCAGAAAATCCAACAAGATCCAACTCGGGATCACCTCCTAGAGTTAATGTAAGTAAGCGTGTACCCTTAAGATAACGGACAACACGTATGGCAGCATTCCAGTGGGGGCGACGGTAGCAATCAAGGAATTGGCATAAGCGGGCAACGGCGAAGGAAATATCTGGTCGGGTGCCAACCGCCAAATACATGAGCGATCCAACCAAGGAACGGTATGGGATACGTGTCAAGTCATGGGCATCACCAGGGGAAAGGGGAGGATCGGAAGGTGAGGGACGGGTAAGGCTTTTCGCGACAGAAGGGTCCATTGGAGTAGAAATGGGGTCCGCATCAGTCTGGCCAAACTGCTCGATAATACGGTCAATAAGTGCAGTTTGAGAAATGGAGACAAGACGCTTAGCCCTATCACGACGAATGGCGATACCCACGCAAAAGCGTGCCTCGCCAAGGTCAGAAATCGTCCAGAGGGATTTGAGCTCCTCCTTGAAGGAACGAGAGGCTTCGGGCGAGCTGGCAGTAATCAGGAAGTCGTCAATGTGGACAGCGGTGAGAACAGTTCCCAATGAAGAGACTCTGTAATATACACATGGATCAGCGTGTAATCGGGTAAAACCCCAATTTAACATAGCTTTGTGCATCGTTTTGTTCCAAATGCGCCCGCTTTGCTTCATGCCGTACAAACCGCGCTGTAAGCACCAAACCCAATCCTCCTTACCAGGCTCCTCAAAGGATTCAGGTTGCTCGAGGTATTGCGCTTCGTCAGCAGGAAGGAGACCGTAAAGGAATGCGGTCTTGACATCGATTTGTTGGATATCCCAGTCTTTAGCAGCAGCGATATTGAGAAGGAGGCGAATAGATTCCATGCGGGCAGTAGGCGAGGTGGTATCGCCGTAGTCTTGACCAAAGATCTGTTCGTAACCCAATACAACAAAGTGAGCCTTGTGCCGGACGGGATCACCAAGTTCATCGTGCTTGAGTATCAGGACCCATTTACCACGCAAAATTTTGCGACCTGCAGGAACGTCAGAACGGGGGATGAGTTTATAGACACCCATCTCTTTGAGGCTCTTCAGTTCATCCTGTATGCCAAGCGTCCATTTGGCGGAATCAGGGGACTTCATAGCCTCGCGGAAAGTGGGTTCATCAGGACTGTGTGTGTTAATAAGAGGGAATGCGAGCTCAGAGGCGTAGGCTTCACAGAACGCAGCGAAATCTGCTTCAGAATCAAGGTTAATAAGAGGTGGTAAGGTATCATCTGGAACAGCGTTAGTAGGCATGGAAGGAGTCTGAACATTGTCGACATTCGTAAGTGACGCTCGAAGGTCGAGAACTTGTTGACGTCGTTCAAACTTGGCCTGATTTCGTTGTTCTTTGAGGCGTCGACCAGCCTCGCGTGATTCAATAACCGCTTGAGCAACCCGCGGAATGTTCTTGATGCCTAAGTTCTCAGCAGCCTTGGTGCTGGGAGCCGGGGGACGGCCAGATCTGCGTGGAAGAATGTCAGTGTTATCAGCAGGGACAGGAACAATGTCATCTGCGGGAACAGGGACGACATCAGCAGGGTTGTGAAGTAAGGGAACAGATACTTCAGCTTGATGAGGGAGTCCAGGCTGCAAAACGGGATGGGAAGCACTAGGAATGGACTCCTCCTCATCTTGGACAGAGGTATGCTTGGGCGAAGAAACACTGGAAGAGGAAGAAGGGGAAAGAGATGAGGGAGAGGGGGATCCGGAAGCAGTAGGTATGGTATTGATAGGGCCATCCGTCACAGGGAGGTCAATGATGCGACCAGGGTGAAGTGGATGGGAGACATCGTCTTTACGCTCGATAAATTTGACGTGGAAGGATTCAAAAAGTCGATGTGTTGAGGGGTGGTAAAGGCGATATGCTTTTGAATGGGGGGAGTAGCCAACGAGGATACATTCGAATGAGCGTTCGTATATTTTTGGATTGTGTTTGAGGATGAGCGCAAACACGCGTGATCCGATTTCACGTAGATGGGATAAATCAGGTTTCTTCCCATGCCAAACTTCAAAAGGTGTCCTGCCAAGGGTACGTGTTGGTGTGCGAGCAGATAGGTACCCAGCTGTCATGGCAAATTCATCCCATCTATTGGGTGGTACGTTTGGCGTTGATGCATGCATAGCGCGCATTCTATTCATGATAGTGAGATGCATACGCTCAACGCGTCCGTTATGGGCAGAGGTGTATGGCGCAGTGACCTGTAAGGTATAGCCATTAGCATCGCACCATGCGTTCATCGCGTCGGATTGGAGTTCTCCACCATCTATACGGATGATACCAATCCGTTGTCCACTCTCTGACTCAGCTCGACGCACCCATGATTGAAGGGTAGGTAACGCGTCGGATTTTAACTTAAGACAAAAGGTCCAAGGGTGGCTAGAGTGATCATCGACAACATTCATCACATATTGATTTCCGCTCGCTGACTTCACGGCCTCAGGACCAGTCAGGTCCACATATATTATCCCCAACTTCCTATTTGATCTCTCCCCCTGACGAATCTTTGGTACTGGGGTGCGACCCTGTTTACCGCAGATACAACTGTCACATTTGGGAGGGGATCGAGATAGGTTGATGAGCATACCTTGAGCAAGTTGCTTGGTAGCTAAGTCGAGGATGGACTGGTTTGATGCATGTCCCATTCGTCGATGCCAGGTGTCAAGGTCGGCTGTAACGAAGGCGTGTTCAGCTGAGAGTCGAGTACAGTTGAGACTATATAGTTTGCGTGTCGAAAGTCGTGTGCCAGTTGCAAAGAGGGAGCAGAACGAGTCTTGAGAGTGACCGTGGTAGCATCGAAGGTAACAGAACATTGAAGAGACTCGGTGATACATCCAATCGATATGAGCCGAACAGTAGAAGCAGGAATGAATAGAACATTTTCAAGTAGAATATGGGAACCTTTGGCAACAATTAATTTAATAGTGCCAATGCCGAGAGCGTTGATGGTAGAACCGCCAACACCGGTGACAGTCCTATCGGTGATTGGGTGGAGTGTCAAGAAATCAGAACGGTCAGGCGAAATATGGGTCGTGCAAGCGCTATCGAGCAGGAATGGTGATGCATCCAAAGAGAGAGCTGTGCGACGAGCAGAGGCTGGAAGTGGGGCTGCCATGACTGCCGCGAGACCTAGGTCGTCTGTGTTTCTCCTCCTCTCATGCCAATCAACAGAAGTAATAAGGGAATCTTGAGTGGCAAGCCAGGAAATTTCGGCTATATGCGCATATTCCGCAATATCAGCGGCGCACATAGACTCGAGGACAAGTGGATCTATTAAATTAATATCGTCTGTTTGAAGAAAATGTGCAGAGTCGGAGACGTTGGTCGTAGTGGTTGATGAAGAAGATGAACTGATAATTTCATGAGCCTTGCCGTCGGCGTCAACGATATAGGCTTGGTTGCCAGACTGAATAATACTGCCGGCGGGTTTGGATGTCTTCTCCTTGGATCTCTTGCCTCGTTTGGCCTCGCGCGCAGCTTGCGCTTCAGCAACAGTTTTGCCGGCCATCCCGCCACCAGGTTGAATGCAAAATTCGGCGGTATGGCGTGGTTTCTTGCAATTTGAACAAATAGTTTGCTTGGAATCCGTATTGCATGAGCCGCGTGCAACGTGAGCTTCAGCCGGTACAGGCATGGATCGAGCAGTGGTCATAGATCGAGCTTGTTGTTCGTAGTCAAGACGATCAACAATTTGAGCTGACGTATATGCACGGTCGGCAGTAGCGGACGACAAGCCAGAGACAATAGCATCACGGATAGACGAAAGAGAGTCGTCGGCAGAGAGTGCAAGTAACATGAGAATACAGAGAAAACCCTCAGAGGTAGGCGCGCCCATATCCCAGATACGACGGTTAAGGTTGTGTAATATGAGAGTGGTTTCGGCAAAGGGAACAGATGACGAATAGCGTACAGAAAGAGCTTCCTGAATCAACGTTACTTGGGTCATGGGACCTTGGTGTACATGGCGTTTCTTCAATACACTCCAAATATCCTCGGCGGTCACGCAGTTCTCGATGAACTGATGTTCGGATGAAGCGCACTTCAGAAACAAGAACGTTTGTATGGCGGCGTTGTTTAATTTCCAGTTGCGGTTAGCGCGAGGTTCGTAATGAGGGTCGGGAGCAGGAAGGGAACCATCAAGATATTGGTCCAGGCCAGAAGAAAGTTGGAGGATGCGTACGACGTGTCGGCTCCACGCTGCGTAATTGTTCATATTCTTGTCAAGGATGGCCACATCCCCCCAGCTAGATTCCTTCACACTCTGAATAGGAATGGAAGGGTGCGACGTATCGCTCGCGAGGGGAGTGTTGGGCAAAGGAGACAATAAGGAGACTGGGCGAGGGGATGCAGGGGTCGACATAGGGTCGCTGGAAGACAAATCGCCTACAGTCATCGTGAATCAAGGGTAGAATTGGTCGACAAATACGGCGGGGTTCCTAGAAGTCAAATAGGCCCATAACCTGTTGGAAAAGGACTAGTATACCCTCAGCCGATGGAAGAGCGACTATATATCACTGGAAACCGTACCTAGTATACCCTATGAGTAGTACTTGAGTTAGTCCAATGATATAGTAAAGGCGGGATCCGTTACTCACCTCAGCCGATGGAAGAGCGACTGAGGGAAGGAACGAACCCCTGTACAGTAGTTATAGTAGTGGTTACGTAACACGATCATCCTCGATCATGATCTCGGATGTAGACTTCAACAAGTTTGCCAGGCGCATACAGACAGCATCTTTGATTCCCAGGTGTTCAATGCCAGTGCACCATACACCTCCCCGGTTTTCCTGTTGCTGCATTCGTGAACGGTGGCACTTCCACTCCTGTTAACGCAACCACGACCGCATCCTCAATGGCAACGGCAACCCAAACTGGTGGTGCCACTGGGACGTCGACGACCTCCAAGGGGAAGATGTGCAAGCTCAAGAAAGGCAAGTCTGCCTCTTCGTTGGTTGTTCCATCGACCTGCATGGCATCAACCAGTGCCATCACCACCGATGTGTACCCCTGACACTTCAGCAGGGTCATGCGCAAACTTGCGCTCGGCCGCAGTATCTAAAACGCCTCTAGTTATGACACACCACGACATGCATGCTCGCGATTATGACTGCTGTTTAGATCCCGCCTTGTGTTGTATTCATACTCAGTCATTCATATTATAGGTCGTATAGTACATTGCTATCATTGCAATAAAAAAATCGGTCACTCGTTCTTGATGTTGGCACAGATGTGAAGCTCACTCTTCAAGTATGGTTACTGAGATTTAATGAATCAAGTTTTGTGGGATCCTGGCAGCTACCTTTTGGGGGGACCTGCATCAGTAGAATCACAAAACCGCTTTCAGCCACTTTTGCCGCTTTTGAAAGGATGAAAGTGTTTCCGCTTTTGGAACATCAGCAAACCTACACTTTACTTGTCAGCTTTTCACGACTTTTTGTGACTGACAGCTTGTTGCCAAGTCACAAGTTGACACAAGCTCACAAGCTGACGAGGTGCCTGACCATGAGGGGACTTAGCGAAAAAAGTGGTTTGCGAACTTGCTTATGTAACAGTTGGTAACCACGTCCGTTCTGTAATTTCCCTCTCATCTTAACCACACCATCATCCACAGTGACCACCCACCTCTGCTGCGTCACCACCGCCACCACCAACCATTACCTCCCAGAACCATCGTTTGACCTCCCACAACCACAATAGCTCACACCGACAACACCAGCCTCGACAAAACGACGTGGTGACGCCACGTCACCAGCCTCAACCACGAGCACCAGTCAGCCCAATGCTGCCACGCCACGCCAGCAGCGACAGCAACCAGGCAAGCACCAGCCGACTCAATGCCACGTCGCGGTGACGACGTGGCTTGTCAACGGTACGTTAACATCTTTGGCTCTTCGGTCTCTCCTAGATTTCTCGTCCACCCATCTCTCCAATTCACTCTTTTTAGGCTGGAGCCTGGTTTTGTTAAATTAGAGAACGAAGTCATACAGAAGCCATCGCATCTGCCATTTCTTCTTTTTAGCCCGCTGCTATGTGCCCAAGAACTTTCCAAGCCGAACCTTTCTGACATGCCACGAAGTCCACAGCAGCAACCACGACGACGACAAATGATCGTGGAGGAACGAGTGCTGCCAAAAGGTCAGCAACCCCCGATATCCCCCCCCTTTGACTGACAAGTCCCCAGCCAGTCGCCGTTGCCCACACCACACACCAACCATCGCCACGTCACTCCGCCGCGCACGCCGTTTCGACGACATATGTACCAGTATGCACTTGCAGGGGCAGGAAGGGGGTTTGAGAAGGGGGTATACAGAGCTTGTGGAAGGGACCCAATGGGGGAGGGATGTGTCCCTCCTGGCGTCGCTGGTGTGGATGGCAAAGGATTCTTTAATAGTGTACTGTCGTATTCTCACTGTATTGTGCTAGTACCATACAATGATCAGTTATACCTAATTTTTTGCTATGAAATACCAAAAATAAGATTACCACTTTTCTGAGCTTGTCAGCTTGTTAGAGCTCGTCGAGCAATCTCGCAACTCAACTTGCGAGATTTTTGGATCTACTTGTCAACTTGTGACTTGTGGCTCGTTTCGACTCGTTTGGGCTCGTACGAGTCGAAAAAAGCCCAAACAAGTCGTGACAAGCGGAGTGTAGAAATACTGATGAAGCCAAGTCCCTTTTCTTTCAAAAGCGGTTTCGGCTTTCAACAGGGACAAAAGGGGCTGCAAGTGGTCCAAAAAGGGACCATGAAAGAGGTACAGCTTTTCAAAAGGTGACTTAAAGAGGGTTTGAAAGAGGGTTCAAAGCAAATAGATTTCTAATATTTGTGAAACAATGGTGCTGATTACTACTAGAACGACGTGACCCTCCAGTACATCCTCATGATCTGCTAACACAATATCAGACTGTGGCCTGGAGAACCATCGCTGAAACAGTCTCTCGAGTACAGCGAACACCTTCAATCAGCCCTAGGATATCGGCGTGCTTGCCTATGATAGCTTAAGTGGCATATTGCACTGCAGCTTGCGAGGGGTCCTGGAAGAAGTGGACGTGCCGGACGAGTTTGACATTGATCATTTTGTGAGCATGTCAAGGAGGAGAGGCTGTCAGTTTCAATGGTTGCTATTTCTTCATCAGTGGCAACGGTGTCCCCGACTTGTTTTGACCATGATTTGAGTGTTCTCTCACTAATGGACTCAGCCATTGGGGGACCTTGATGGTTTCCGCTGGGTTCCGACGATGATTACAAAGGATGGGCCTACAACGTCACTCAGAACTAGTGTTCGAAAGTCCGGTTAGGTCCGGTTATTGGGTGCCCAGGGGCTCTAACCGAGACTGAGACCGGTTAGCCTTTGTCCCAAAACCTAAAATAACCTAACTGGACCGCAACTAACCGGTTACAGTCGGTTATTTGCAGTTACTAACCAGTTAGGACCGAAAAATAAAGAATCGGTTATAACAAGGCAAATATGCTCATATGTATCTTGATAGATATTATTTCTGCATATTCTAGCTTTAAAACGAGCCCAAGAACGCTAAAATCGGTGAAGAATTGACATATTTATGCAATTATCCTTGAAAGTCTACACATTTGAGTGATATTTTAGAGATTTGACCGCAACTTAGTCAAATTTTAAGCATTTTCGATGTTCTCAAGTGCCTTTTGAAGGTGTATAATAGGGCTGGTTATAACTGGTTAACTAACCTAACTTTCAAACACTACTCAGAACCACCTTTCAAACCAAATCACAAATGAGGAGGACAAACCTATGTGTGATGGTTGGGTATATGGGGGCTGGGAAGCACCTTCATGTGAACTGTGTTGGATGTGAGCATGAATAGCAGCCTGGGATGGGTATTAGTTCTGGACTAGAGCTCGGAAAAAGGTAGAAGAGGGGTGTGTGACAAGACGAGGGATGGAAATCACCAGGGGAGAATGGCAGGGATGTGTAGGAGGGAGAAACTAGGGGTGCGCACCATACTGTAACGGTATACGGCCGTATGCATTCGGTTGCATGACAGCGTCAGGTACACCGAAACCGTTACTGTCAGGTAATCTGCAAGCCAACTGCAGTATGGTCAGTGCAGAACACGACCGTAAACGGCTGTGTTCGGTGGCTTACAAGGAAAGAAAAGTAATTTAATTAACACTAGCTACTGGAGGTATATATTAGCGTTGATCTTTCTTTGTAAGGTTGACGCATGCAAGCCTGAGGCGATTTTTGACCAACATCAGCACTCTGATGGTATCTGGAATGAGGCTGGCACGTCGTAGAGAGATAGTATCACGCCCCCCAGAAAATATACGTTCAACGGCAACTGCAGAACCTGTGGTACTGGTGAGTGATTGAAAATGAACTTAAAAACATTGATGAACATACCTGGAATTGAGAAAAGGTCGCGCACGAGGCGATAGAGGTTAGGAAATTGTGACTGTCTCCCAAGCCACCATTCCAGGGGTTTGCAGGTATCAAAGTCTTTGCGTGTTAACTTGTAAAACTCATCCAGCTCGTTGACGACTACCTGGTCTTCCTTTTGGTAGCGCGATGTCAAATTTACCTTTTCGGGTGAGTGGGGGGCACTACCACTGGCTGAAGGAATGGATGAACTTGATCGCGATGATTGAACGGGGGTTCGACGAGTCCGATTTGCGTAGTTTTTGTTGAAAAATGACTTCAATTGATCCTCCGTGTTGTTCAAATCAGCAAGAAGTGTGGGGTCCAAAGCGCAGTCTCTTCTAAGCCCTACATACATGATCCGAGGATCAAGTACTGGAAATAAAGGTCAAATTTCAGAAAGAAAAAACGAAGTAGAGGAAGGAATAAAGCATACAAGAAGCCCAAGTATAATATGGGGACTCATCCGAACGATAATAGTAGTCACTGAGTTTTTTGTGAGCCTCAATCAAGCCGTTTCTCAATTGATGTGGTGCAGAGTCAGGAAGCTCTGCCAACGCTTGGTGAACATGGTCTTGTAATCCACAGAAAATGGCATGGACAGTGGAGAGCATGGGCTCCTTTGTCTTGGACATGTCAGTAGTAGCTGAACGAAAGACCTTGAGCCAGCCTGCAACAAGACGTATGGCTGACCAGTCAGCAGCATTGAGCTCCAATGCACGGAGATCTTGGTGGCACCCAACGAACTCATCGATTTCCTTTGCAAAGTCTAAGGCACGTCCTACATGACTACTGAGTAATGACCAACAAAAGAAGAATACAGAAGTTGACGTATGCAGCATTTGATGTGTTGAAGACCAACGAGTTTTAACATCTAAGATAAGCATCAATGCACGTTGTCGCTCAACACCGTTCTTGCCCCGAAATGAGTCTTCAAGTTGCTTGAACCATGCCTGCTTCCGCTGAGGGCTGGAACGAATTGCACGGATGACTTTACGAAGCTCAAAATATCATCAGCTCAAGACTTAAGCTATGTAAACAATCGACTCACCTTTTCAACGGCAGGCAATATATTGCCTGATGCATCAGGGGATAAACTAACCTCCTCCTCTTGGTCTCCGTCATCTTGCGCAGCAGCGTCGTCATCGTGAGAATGACTGAGAGGTGCTGTTGTGGAATCTTGATAATTGCCACTTCTGGATGTGGCCTTTTGGGCTTCCATCTTGGAGATGGCCCTGATTGCCTCAAGTAACTGCAAGGTAACATGAGCTTCAGTATCATAAACTACAAATAATTGATGAGATGAACCTTGATGGTGGCAAGATGGATAGTGTGTGGCATGCAACAAAGACGGGCCCAAGCCACGTTGAGATGGATACCCTCTTTGGCTGCTTGGGACTCAATTCCTTTGACCATAGTATCATTGTTTGAAGCATTGTCAAGCATAAATGCAAAAATCTGTGTGCAAAATTAACAGTTCATTTCTCGTGAACTTTTAATTGAAAAATTACTCACACAGTCTTCAATTCCATATCGTTTTAATGTCTCCCATACGACTTCTGCCATGTTTTCACCTGAGTGTTCACCAACAAGCTCTCGAAAATCAATGAGCAATTCTTCTTTAAGTATGTAAATACTCTGTAAGAATAATGACAGGAATTATTAGTTACCTAGCTTTCCTTCCTTATTTACATAATGGGCGACGATGGCAAGAAAAGCGTAGTTATTACTGGATGTCCAAGCGTTGAGCGAGAGGCTGATCTTTCCGGGGACCTCATCCTGATGACATTATGAGACATATTCCATTCAGAATTGAAACATTGATTCTTACCTTGAACATTGGCTTGGTGGACTCCATACTCTCTTCACCCATCTCCATTACTCGATGTTTAATAGTGTCGCGGTGTGGAATTTGGAGGGTGGGAGCGGGATGGTGGGTGTATGTTAAGAGCTCACGAAGCTTGGGCCTATCGACCTCTTCGAATGGCTGGTCACAGACTATGATCCATTCAGCAAGGAGCTGCTCAAATTTTCCTTGATCCCAAGGATCCTATGAATTATAAGCGACTTTTAAACAACAAATAAAAGTATCAAATGACTTATGGCAGCATTGACAGCCTGCTTTTCGAATGCAGCGCGAATGTTTTCAGAAGCTGTCTTGAGGTTCTTGAAGAACTCCTTGGATTTTCCAGGGTCGAGGACCTTTTCGCCGGAAGCGATTCGGATTTTGTCCTCAGTAATAAGTTGATCGGAAGGCCTCTCTTTCAACGCAACGAAGAGCTGGAACATGCTTGGCGAGCATGCTTTTAAGTTGTTTACCATGGCTAAAAACAACAGAGTTAGGCTACAGCGATGTGTCGCAATTATGTTACTTACATGTGAGGTTTTATTTTCCGGTTTTCTTGAGAGTGAAAATTTTGCGATTACCGTGGCAGCACTGGAAATGTTTGTCGCCAGGGTTCCCAACCCCCCCATCAGCACCACGGGCAACGCTTTTATAGAAATAGTATATGGGATTCTTTGTTGCAGACTAAATGGGTTGTTTATTAGTCAATCATACAAGAAAATCTAACACGAACATACTTTACTCTTCGTCTTGTTACCGGATGATGGTCCTACTTGATCCAAAGGTCGGATCTCTTCCAAAATAGTGTTTTCATCATTTGGACTCGGTGAGCGTTCAGAAACTCGACGTCGACTGTCCTCTTCCTCAACCTCGATAATGGTTGGGGCGGTACGCTTTCGTTTTGTTGTTCCAGATCCGTGGCCCGTCATTGGGAGAGTCTTTGAGAGAAGGACAGAGGCAAGCTGACAATTGTTGATGAGTAAAAAAGCCAGTGGAAACAAAAGCGATGTACCTCTGCATTCGAAACTGCTTCAACTTCAATAGAGCCGTCGCTGGACTCTGAATCCGATGAACCCATCATGAAGTTGTCATCCTCGTCATCGCTCTCAACACCAGTATCCAGCTTAAATTTCTTTGCGCGGGGCTTGCAAGAGTGTTTGGCACGATTTGCCGCTCGAGGTTGCTTTGGCAGGATCGGCTCGCCGTCAGAATCTAAGGCCTCAGCTGCAATATAGTCAGCCATTTTCGCCCCTCAACCACTTCGTCAACCATCTGAAGTGCTGGAATCAGACATTGTTCAAGAATAAAAAAAGAAATTGACCTGTTATCACAGCAGGCAAAGTGGATGCAGCAAGACGTGGAAGAGAGCGGCTGTCTGATTCAGAGTGGTACCAATCTATGTCGTCGGTGTCTTTGAGTTGACCAGATGTGTCCATAGCACATCCGAGTTCTGTAGGCATTGTGGAAAAGAGTGCATAGTGTCTCCTCTGAAAACATACCATATAAATATGGAGCTCACAGGCACATTTCCCCATGTTTCATGGTGAAATTGCAAGCTGCAATATATCAAGAAATCACTGTTGTCAGCCACAAGGATTGTTAGAATTTGAAATGCACATAAAATATTATGAGGGGGCATAAGTGTACAAACCTTTGAAAGAATCGCCTGGGGCATGCAGAATTCACAAACTTGATTACGATGAAAAGAAGCCTTTTCATTCATGGCATAGTGTACAGAAAGAGTGAAAAAGTAAGAAGTAGTGCTGTGACAGGTTCCTATGGGATGAAAGACAATGATGCGACGGGTATCTGTAGGCACGTCCCATTGAAAACAAGGAACGAATGATGATTTGTCAACCGCAGGAGACTGTTGATAACATTTGAAATTAAAACACCAACAACAGCCGTTTCTGACTGTCAACTATTATTCTTGTCGGTTATATACCATACTGTCGCCGTACC